TGTGTAATACCCCCTTAAATACGCACCACTTGCTTTTTCCATTGGTCTGATAGTAGCTGCAATTAATAGTCACCTAAGTGATCATCCGTATATATTACAATACATTTATACCATATTTTAAATCGGTATCATACAAGACTTGGACACTCAGGTCTTAAGAGACAAGTGATAGGTTGCCAATTTACCGTTATGATGATCAATATTGTATATATACCTCTTATATCATAGGACCAAAGGTATGGCACGGTATAAGGTAGATCAATTTTAACGGTACGTGGAAATATTTTTATTTCATTATTAAATCATTAATTTAATGAAAAATAAAAGTTAAAAACAAATTCTTTAATATTTTCTAAAACTTAAATAATATAATATTACTAATTATAATATTTTGAAAGTTCAAAACACTTTCAAACATATTTTCTACTTTAAAAAAAATGTCAAATTTTATACCCTCAATAATTGCATCAACATCCAGTACCTATTTTAAAATGTATTGTCCAACAAATACTACATAGGAAATATAATGTAATAGATTAATTACAATCAGGAAGTAGAGAATATAAAAATTGTATGTAAAATGTAAATTTATAAATTTATTCCAATTTGTATAACTCTAAGTTAATTTAACTGAGTTAAAAAATTTTATTAACTTTCTCAGGCTTGATTATATCAAAACATGTTCTTGATGATTCATTGATAAGTAAATTATTTTTGACAATAATTATCTATTTCGTTTAGGAATTTAGAATAATTTTAATACTTAATGCATACAGATAACAAAAATACAAGATATAAAATATAAACAACCTAATGAATACATAATATTATGCACAAGTTTTATGTATTTTACTGTTATAGAAAGCATCACCTATCAATTCTTCATCTCTTCAAGACATCAGATACTTAATTAGTAGGTATAGGTAAGTTATAATCGGAATTATATTGATAAATGATTATGAAGTAAATAATAACATAAATAATATATTATTATCATTAAAAAGGTACTTATATTATTATAATCATTGATTGCTCACATGACTCATTATTAACTATTATTTTAACTGAACTGATTTATTAATTTACATCATATAATATAATATGTCTGCGTTTAAGTATAAAAACTTATAAGTTATAAGGTATATACTATATAGTAAGCAGTAAGCTATTATAATAAAGTTGTACAAATAAACCAATAGATAGTCTATTACTATAAGTATTGCAAAACGCAAATATTAAGAGGATGCCCGTATCAGCAAACTATTATTTGTTTTTTCTCTTTCGAACCAGTGAACAACAAAAACACATTTTCAAATTATTGTATTTTAGTATTTTACATAAATACCTACTTCCTACACATTCAAAATTTGAACATTCAATAAATTATGTAGGTATATAAAATAAGAAAATCGTTCTATACAATTTGTTAATTTATACAGGTGAATATCCAATATCTAACTTCAGACGATCATAACAAAATATGACGTATTTATTCTCTTTTTTTTATTTCCGTTAACTAAAACCTATGAGGAACCTTGTATTACATTTTCAAGTTTTTTGAACAAAGTAAACATTTTTTATTGTCATTAATTTAAAAAACTTATAAAAATCGAAAATGTCATAATGCCTATATAAATAACTCAACGTAAATCAAAATATTTTGAAAATATTATGATGGATATAAGATGCTAATTTAAACATTCAGTAAAAATGTCAGATATCTACGATATTTTTTTTTGAGCTAAACCAACCAAATTAATTTTGTTAAAAACCTTAAAATTTCTCGTTTTCCTAAATTTTAACCAACGCTTTTGAATACTTCTGGGAATTTAAAATGTAGACCTCTCAAATGCACAAACTAAATTCACTTCCTAACTGAAAAAGATACTTAAATTAAAAATAAATCGAAACATTATTTCGACAATTTATCGTGTACACAGACACGAAAAATTGAAATAAAATAAAACACACATTATTGTAAATATACAGTGAAAACGGACACTTCCCAATAGCGGACACCTCTAAATAACGGACGGAATTTTGGGAACGGTGAAATGTGTACTCACTGTATTTCCCCTCTAAATAGCGGAAGACATTTAAGCGACCAAGAGTGTCCGGTATATAGAGGTTTCACTGTAGTCAATATACATTCATCGCTCAGAATCTAAAAATAGTATATTCATTTCTGAGTAACAATAATATTATTCCGTTAGAAACGAAGCAATAATATTCTAGGATCGCCTATAGCCTATTAGTAACGTAGTTATATTATGGAAAATTCTCCAACACATATTTTCCGATGACGAGTTCAGATCCTTGCCAAGCCTACTACGAGCCTACATATTTACCCCAACCTTACCAGTTGCCATTATCCAAGATGGTACTTATAGTAACTATTAGATAATCACTACACACAATAATAGAGTTACGGCTGACTGTCCTAAACTATTCGTCTTGCTGCCTTCAYCGTCAAGACGTCAACATGCATTATACTAGGCACGACATTGCCACATTGGTCGGAGTTGACCATCCGGGCCCTTGCTAATGCTACCTTATCAGCCGCCATAACAATGAGTGTTTTTGTTACAGATATCTATATTAAACTATATAAGCATGATAAAGAGAAGGTCTTCTCTACATCGTGTATATAAGGTACTCGCGGCGTCGCCATAGACCTTATACCTTATATAGTATAAGCCATAAGGTCTATGGGCATCGCACATTGGAAATAGAAAAGCCAGTTTTCAGTGCTTTATCCCTTTGCCACCACATTGTCAGTTGGAAAAATATTCGAATTCTTCATAGATAATATATAGATAATAGATAGTCCATCGGCATTCAATGATAAGCTACGAAGTAATACATTTTTTATACCCACGAACAAATCATTTTTTCTTTTTTAATTCAAATCTAAAATGAAATTATTATTTTAACCAGTTGGTGCTTTTATTATTGGTAATTAATAACAACAAGTCCATAACACAGTATAATAAGAAATATAAGAAAATATAAATTAATACMAAATTATACTTATAATAATTTGTTTGATAATAATTTTTAGTAGATATATTAACAAGTCAAAATGGTTAGCTGTTGGTTACTACTGGTAACAATGGTATACGAGTATATGGGGCATATACTGAATCTTCGGGGACGCCGTCCCGTGGGTGTTTAGTATAGGGATGGTTTATCCATTATAATTATATATGGAATTTTCTACTGGTACGAGCATAATATATTACATAAACTCGATATTTCTTTACAAACTAACAAGGCTATTACTTCAAATTTTAGATCTGATTCCTATGGCTGTATTTGGGGTCTTGAAAAACACAAACTTCTCAAATGTGTTGTGTATACATTTTGCTGAGTATTTCATAGCATGGGTATTAAGATAAAGTATATATGAATAACTCATATTTTATAGTTGTTTATTAAGAGGACGCTACACCCGCATGTGTCGTCTCCGTCTTACATTTGAATTTTAAAATATTCACACTTAACATGCTCATAACTCATTTAAAAATTAAAATATCGTAAAAAACCAACACGAGAACACAGATAATGTCCCTACCTAAAAGTTTGATAGTAGGTCAATTCACTCTAATATCAAAACTAACAGCACACTATTGAATCTAGCGAGCGAAAATTTGCTATGAAGTACGCGTATAAGACGGAGACAACACATGCGGGTGTAGCGTCCTCTTAATATAATTTTTATATCAATTTATATTTTATATAAGTCATAATACAATATACATATAACATTATTGATGGTTAAAAAATATTAATTTGGTCAATAAGAGACGTTTACTAACATCTCCACTTGTTTTTAACTTAGCTACATAATACCTACTCTCAAATATTAAATCTACTATTTCGCCATCAATTAAACTTTTACTTTTCAAATCATTCAATAATTTGTGCAGGTTATATATTTTTAAATCTCTTCTTCTTAACTTTTGCTGTAAAGTTCTTATTTTTTTTTTTTTCAAAAAATTTCACAGGTGTAAGTGTTAACTGTTTGCACTTCCATATTATTGCTATAGTGGAAACTATTTCATGAAATGTTCTAACTTTATTATCAACTAATGTTATGTCATCAGAATATCTAATTTTATCATTTATTAATGTAATGTCATCAAAAGTTTCAACTTTGTTAACAACTAATGGAATGTCATTCTCTGCTGGATTAGAGTTCCCAAAAAAAAATTTTAATAGTCATTAGATAAAAATTAAATTAAGTCGTAATTTGTATAGTTTAATTTAATTTAATAAGTGTTAAGTACTAGCTGCATCGAAATTTGAATCTTTAATTTTAATGGGATTTATTACAAAAGGTTCTTTTTGTGGAACTTTGGATGACTTTTGGCAATATGAAGGAAATGCAGAGAACAGTGTCGGGACAGCATCTTTTTTAAAAGTAATTTTTGAATATTTTGCTTATAATTTTCATTTATAAAATGATCACTGCATAAACGGCTCCATTTGGTTAGTGTAAACTTTCTTTTTGTAGATGCAATCCATTTTTTATTTAGATAAACGTTAGCTAAAGGAAATCTATAATATTCAAATAATTATTCTCAGATACACAAATGTAGACCTACATGTCGCCGATATTAATAACTAATAAATAGATTAACTTACCGGTAAAAAATTAATTGTTTTACCAGGTTGATTTAGTTGATATCTATTTGTACATCCATATGCAACGCATGGCATTGGCATGATTCAATTTAAAATATGAAGCACAATAAGTAAAATAATATAATAATTGTGCTTAAAAAAATAACAACTAAATGAATGGTAAATTAACCGAGCACAAAACCATCTTATAATCTTGAGTCTCTTGACGCTTATTCAAAATGTCTTGCCAACCACGAATAATCGACGACAACAGATTATTAGTTATTACTAATAATATTGTTAAGCTTCATACGATAACGCGAGTACCTTATCTTGTAGATATCTGTGGTTTTTGTTTACAATCAGCGGTTATCAACACTCCAGACAACGACTCGCCGCGCGAATGACGACTGATATTATTGTAATATTGTATTCGGTGAATCGTGAACGACGAGAACTGTTCAAACCACAATATTATTATTATTGTAGGTACGTACGATCCCTGTAGACATGACGTAATCTTCGTGGTTACAGATTCGTCCGCCGCGTACTGACAGGCACAAACGACGGTCTTCGGCAGTTCGGCGTCGGTGGCGGTGGTGTTGGTGGTCTAATGACAAATTGACGAACCGTGTTGTAAGTAGGTACTGACTGCTAAGTTAGGGGTACGATTGGGATAACATTTCGTACCGTCGTTACCCCGTCCGTCTAAAGATTATTGTCCGGTTGCTTGAATCGATGGAAAAAAATTCAAATATCGACTGCCCGATACAAATCGGTAGAAATAAGGTATACCTAGGGTGAAATATTTTTGATAAGACAGGACAAGATCCAGATCCATGAACTGTTGCAAGCGCTATTTGTTCCAACTGTTCCGAGTGATGTGGTGTTGAATCTAGTTCGGTATCGGGAGAAAACACCTCCATTGTGGTCTGGTGAAATCGTAGCAATGAGCGATTTCTCCGTGCGAATTTATACAAAGACTATGGCAGCAGCAGCCATGCGTCGCAACTGTTGTTGCTGGAAGCGCATCAGGGTAAGTATCCGTCAGTTCATTTTAGCTGTAGTACTATAATTTAATATAAATAATTTAAAGTATGTCTAATGTCAGTTTTGCTTGCAGATGTTACTTGTGTGTTTTGTCATCCTGTTTGTACTGGTCAACGTGATACTGACTTTGTTCAGCGCTAACCATCAAACTGTTAACTCGGCTACTTCTGCAGCAGGTATTGGTTACAACAGCAGCAGTAAATGGGTTCAAGGTGATACAGCAAAATACATATCTATAGAGGTGCTGTCCAGCAAAAACCGCGTGAAGATATGTGTTGACGATGCAACGGTAATTTACACAGCAATATTTTTCTGGCATAAAATATATGATTCTAGAAAACTTTAAATGGTTTATTTTAATTAATTGTTTGAAATAATAATGAATCAGTGTGTTTCACTTATGCATAAAAAATGTTTTGAAACATACGGCAAGATTCAATTATAAATTTAAATTTTGTGGTAACAGTGTTGGCTCAATGCTTATTATTGATAATTTGTTAAGGTTTAATTTATCTAAATTGTCATTTGTAATTATAATAATGTTAATACAAAATATTATCTATATTAAAATAAAATAATAATTGTAATATTATAAACTTTAAAGTGGAACACAAAATAAACAGTTTATAGTAATTAATACCTAATAATAAGTTTTGGGAATTTTATGCAAGCTATAGGTATATAAAACATTATTATTTAATAAAACTCATAAGCAATGCAGAAAAAAATTTAAATATCATAAAAACCTACCTTTCAAACATAGATAATGTACTCAACTTTAATGTTGAAACTAATAACAAAAAATTGCTTTAGCTGAATGAAAATATGTTATATTACGCGAGGGTCAAAGTGCAAAACCAAATCATATTTATAGCTTTACAGAATACGATTAATTAGAAGAATATATATGTTTTTTATTTCCAGGTGATTGATGATAGTGATCCATTAAATAATAGAGGCATGCATGTTGTCGTCTTGAATCAACACACTGGTATGGTGATGGCTCAACGAGTATTTGATACGTACATGGACGATGAACCACTCATTGGTTTTTTACATCGTGTGTCTTCTGGCCGTATAATGATATTTGCTGTTAAAGTTAGTATTGCCCATGGTTTAAGAATGGCCGCATGTCGATAGAATTAGGGTTGGCAGAAAATGTACAATTTAGTAGCTCTTAATGCAATGTATTAATAATCTATAGGATAGTATTTTTATTTAAAAAATCCATTTTGAATCAACTAAGTACAAAATTCCTTATTCATGTATAGTATTTGAATATTTTTTCTATTCTATGGATACATCTAATTATACTCATTGA